TCTTTCCCTGTTTTTAACATGGGAACATGAACAAGAGCCACGCCCACCCGTAAGTGTTACCTGTCTCAAAGAGAAGGCTGTGGAATCAAATGGCGTAACGTCCGTGGGAGAGTTTTGTAAACTGGAAAGCAAATATTAGCTCTTCTATTTACCCATTTAAAATACAAAATTGGTGTTGTAGTGCCACCGGTGAGAGATAACTGCGTGTGGCTTTTTCTGAGAATGGCTGTTAGGCAGAAGAGCGAGGTGATGAGAAGAATCTCAGGCATACAGCCTGCCTAACCATGCCCCGGTCATCAGTCCCAGACCGGGCTCAACACCTGCGCGTGCAAAGACGGCCAAGGCGCCTGTCGCCCACACCCAGTGGCGTGGTTGCAAGCATCTTCCGACCCAGGAGAAAGCTTACCCGACACGAGCTGCTGTCCAGGCAACCCCACGGGAACCATGCCCAAGTTATTCATAGCGGTGGCCCAGGCGGTGGGGTCCGTCACTGACATGTTCAGCTGGGTCGTGTCGATTGCGAGACTCCCCAAACCATCGGCTGCTGTGATGGGGTAGGGGGGAAGAAACTCTGACTTAGAGTCCACAGGCAATGGTGTCTCTTTGAAAACAAATCGCATGTCTAGAGACGTGAGGCTTCGTTTAAGCACATTCCCAAACCACAAAAAATAACAGCACTGTAACCTACAGCAATGCTTTCTCCAGACGGAAACATAAAAGAGTTTCCAAATACATTCTGGGAGGAAGCTGAATGACATGCAGTTTATACTATACACAGCGTGCCATTAAGGAAGTACCCCTGGAAAAAACTGAAGAATCGCTTCCTTCTCCAGGTGAAACATTAGTTAAGTTCCCTGGTGGAGAGGCAAAGCCAGAGGACTCTCTGGGTAAAACAAGTCAATTGGCTTAGAATAAATAAATTCATCTGTTTCCCAGAGTAATTCTGAAGCAGGCACACCCTCTAACCATCTAATACAATCTCTAAAATCAGCTTGTCAAGCAGTCAAATTGGTCCTGACTGAATTTATTAAGTGTTACCTTGTAACATATTCCAACCTTTACAAACTATTTACATACGTACATTAAGGAAACGCAGGTGTCTTTCTAAAGTGACTTCCAAAATATTTCTTATAAGCAGAGGCTTTCATCGAAACAAAATAAACAAATAAATAATATTGAAGACAAATAGCACAGAGCTTAAAAAAAAAAAAAAAGTCAGCAAAATAAGTTAAATTTGACTTAATGCTCTTTTATGTTCACTAGTTCCAGAGCCTGGTTTCTTTGAGGAGCCCAGCCTCCTGGTTCAATACTTATTTTCATGGCTGGGGAGGCTTTCCACTAAGACGCAAAATGCCTTGTTTGTGTTCCGAGCTGGCCACCGACATTTACCTGCAGCCATCATCTGAGGAAGCTGCTGGGGACACTGTGTGATGCTTTCAACGCCGCCTGCATCTACGATTGAATTACGAGCATCCTGAGGGGCGGGAGTGCTTTGATGGCTGAGTGCAGGATCCCCACGGAGATCATCGGATTCTGCAAAAGGGGAAGAAGAGCAGTGCGGTGAGAAAGTGTCACCGTTAACTGGGGGAGCTCTCATGGGGAAAACTGTTGTCTATTCAAAACAAACAACCACCACCAAACAAATAAACAACAAAGAACAGCTTTCAGTGGGAGGCACAGGGGCGAAGCTGCATCCTTCTCTGGTCTTCTGGTCTTGGAGCCCGGGAGATGTGCGGGTCAACTGTCAAACCACCCGGAGCAGGGCTGGATGAAAATAAACAGCCTGTCTGTGGAGCGGCTAGTGCCTGGCCTCCTACTGAAGAGACTTCACAAACGGGACTTATCAGACCCTCACAGCCTGCTCCGCACATGACACATCAATGCAGAGGGCAGACTCGGGGCTAAATGTGATTGTTTTTAAGTTAAAGAATTAATTGATGTTGTTATTTTCGAAGACGGTCGTCTGTGAAATGTATTCAGAGAGGGAGAAAAAGTTGGGAAGAGGGAGGAAAAAGAAGCAAGGAGCTGCTCCCCGTGAGATCGGTAAAGGGCGTGCCCAAATTACAATCGTCAGGAAAGGCAAAAGGAAAGAATGGCGTGCTGCCCACCCGTCGAAGAAGACGCAGAGGGTTCTGGGGCAGCAGAGGAGAAGCATTTGTTTTCTTAGCTCTGTGACAAGATAAATTTAACTGGCCGCAATTTGTTTGGTCTGAATTTTGCCGAGAATTGCACAGCTTATATAGAAATGTATTTTTATAAGACTTTTCAAAGCACCTTTCTGAAAAAGACAAAAAACAAAACATTACTTAAAGTTACAAAGGGTCCCTCTATGTTGTACCATTTATAAAATGCTATGCCTTCTCTCCATCCTTAAAAATGCAAAGACATAGCATTCCTACGTACATATTTTAAGAGCCCTTTCGCCAGTTCAAGACTGGAAGGCAAAACCTATCACTTGGATGGCTGATCTGAGAAGTTTGAATTTTAAGTAGATTGGTAGAACAACTGAATTCGAAGTACTTATCTTTATTTAGGCACAAATTTAGCAATTTTTTTCAACTGTCTTTCTGCTAATATATATTTTAGAATTAGAGTTACAGTCTGTCAGTGTATCTAGTGCGAAGTTTGGCCCTTTTATGGTATGTGCTCTTTTATTTCTTTGATTCTTAGGTGCAAGAATCAGTGATCCTTTTGAACACTGTATTCTCAAAAAAACCAAAAACCAAACAAAAAAACCCTTACTGCCAGGTGAGTATAAGTTTAATTCAAATGGAAGCTCAGGTTTCAATATCTCAAGGATAGGTGGATACTGAGCAAATCGTTTCTACGGTCTCCACAAATCCCTAGCGCTCAGACATAGGGGAATGAGAGATGGTGGGGAATTATTTCCAATAGTCTATCAGGAAGATAAAACACCTTCATCGAGAAGTTGTGAATGATGTCAACTTTGGGAGCAAACTGTACTCAGGACAAATGTTTCAAACCTCGCATTTAGACTCTACCACCCAACGAAACTCAGAACGTGTTTATATATATTATATGCATCATTTATCCCAGGCAGTGGATGCCATCAGACAAAGAGATTCTCACCATATAAAACACACCCAAATAACATCAATACATAGCTAACCAAAATGCCTGCCCTTTAGCTAGCCACAGGCCAGCAACATTTCCGTGGTGAAACCTCAAAGCATTTTCCTCTCTCCACCTCCAGCCATTTCAGACACCAAAGCAAAGTCAGGCTACGATATGTCCATTCTTTTGCTCAAATGGCCCAGGAGGAGAGGTGCTTGAGATCACTGCAAGGTCACTATTTGTCTTACTTATCTCCCCAGTGAAGTTTAGTTGGCTGGTTCTTTTTCTCGCTCAAGTTCTCCCCAAACTGGCATCAATGCCAACTTTTTTTTTTTTTCTGTCCAATGAGTCTGAAGTTCTGGAACACTGTATCAGAGAATATCCCTTTACTTTGTAGGCTTTATGACTTGTGCCTGACTGGCCATGCTTCACTTTGCCTTTTTCGCTACGGTATTTTAGGGGTGGGGGTAGCTCTCCTTGGCTTTATACCTGTTCCAGTGTTAGCTTTCACTTTAGTGACTGTGGTATTACTAAGGGGAATCGAGTGTCCTGGTGGCCCTTAGCTTCTACCCACGCTTTCCACCTCCATTTTAAGACTGATACTGTTTCACCGAGAATAGTAACAAAACCGCTACTGTTTCATCACAAAAAGTACTGCTTCCTTGGCAAGCTGTGGTTTGCAAACCTGAATTTATCCCCTGAGAGGGTGACATTCTATGTATGACATCTCTTCAATCTCCCTACCCAATGGCTTGAATGACATACAACTTCATGCGGCTGCCATGTACCTAGAATGGTGACTCTAAAGGAAGTTCTGTCATGTCTTAGGCATTTCCAATAGACTCAAGGATGCCTTGCAATTCTTTTTTTAAGAGATTTACTTATTTATTTATTTTTGGCTGCGTTGGGTCCTCGTTGCTGGGCGTGGGCGTGCTGTGGCGAGCGGGGGCTACTCTTCGTTGCGGTGTGCAGGCTTCTCACTGCAGTGGCTTCTCTTGTTGCGGAGCACGGGCTCTAGGTGCGCAGGCTTCAGTAGCTGTGGCACGCGGGCTCAGTAGTTGTGGCTCGCAGGCTTTAGAGCGCAGGCTCAGTAGTTGTGGCACACGGGCTTAGTTGCTCCGCGGCGTGTGGGATCTTCCCGGACCAGGGCTCGAACCCGTGTCCCCTGCATTGGCAGGCGGATTCTTAACCACTGTGCCACCAGGGAAGCCCAAGGATGCCTTTCAATTCTTCAAAAATTTTAAAGTGATTTGGTTTGGGAGAAAGGTGATATTTTAAATTAATTACTACCTGGTAATTTATGAATAGTTACAAGAGTGATTTTTATACTCTACTAACATCTATTGTTCCTATTGAGTACCTGCCTCTTTAAATGATTCAAGGCCATAATGCCTAATTCATCATTCCAATGAATGTCTCTGCCTTAGTTTTCTTATTTCTAAACTATAAAAAAGATTAATATTCTTAATGTTTATTTACACACAGAGATGTGGGGAGTTAAAAATTATAGCTAATAAAGCACTTGGAATATAGTAGGTGCTAATTATTATTATTTTATTTGAAAGTGTAGTGTTTCCATTAAGGTAGCCTGGGATCTTTGTGTTCTACTGGATAATTATGTAATTAATTTTAAAACAGTGAGTAACACTTGATATTTCTAAAAGTAAGTGTTGCCCTAGTTTTCTGTGTCACATCTAAATTGTACCAGAATATTTCTTCCTTTTCACCGTTCCTTTATAAAATAATATAATGTAATTTAAAAGATGTATAAATTTTTCTCTGTAGGTTTTTCTTTTTCTACCTATGCAACTGCAAAAGATTTCAAGAGATTCATGATGAATTGTGAAATTGGAAGTTTCTATTTACAGCTTTTAGTGAAGCTTTTGTACAATCAGATGTACAAATGCCAAGGATAACAGTACAGTTCTGTCCAGGTTTCAGCTGGAATCTAACCTGTTCTTTGTTAAGGTACATTCAAGTACAAAACCTCAGACCCAATTTCACAACTGTTCAACAAGACATATTTATGCTCAGAATTTCACTGAGCTGTATCAATGGCGCAAATAGTTTTTGAAACTCACCAAGCCTAAGAAAATATTATTTGGCCTAAAAAAATGACACAGGCTCCTGCTGCTCTAAGAAACACAGCTCATTCTACCTGTCTAAGGTCCCAAGGAACACAAGGACGGACACGCGCACACGCACACACACACACACACACACACACACACACCGTGAGTAATAAAATCCTTCTGTAACTGTCCACAAAACACAGATTCCTATTAAAGGGGGGTGGAGATGAGTTAAGTCTTGAAAATTTTTCTTTTGTTAATTTAAAAGGATGATTTTGTTTGACTTAAGTCCTTAGGTTTATACCTACTTCAATAGAAGAATAATTATAGTGAGAAAATCTGATTTATTAACGTCTTGTTGAGAGTTCATTCCAAAGGAAACTTATTTCATATGACATCTGAAACTCTCTTACTTTATAGGAAGTATTCACTAGCATTATTATGGTTTATATTCTAGTAAAAAGAAAAATGCATTCCCATCCAAAGTTCTACTTTCTGCTTCTATTACTAAGAAAATATCTCACTTTGATCTCCATGTAATCAGTAGGATGTTCTCTTGAGGTTATGGAAATGCTCATAGTTTAACACAATACAGAGTATTGTTAAATAGACATTACTTACGTTTTAACCCCATGATTTTTAAGCAACCGTTTGGGAATAAGGGAGACATTTCTGCTTCCTATAATGGTAAGTGAAGTAATTCAGACTAATTCTCCCACTGAGGAACAACCAGAAGAGCCTAATGTCTTTCATCAGTTTTACAAAAATTCTCACTATTATCTCTTCAAACACAAAAGGATCACAAAGACATGCTTAAATTATGGTAGAGGATTACTAAACAGGCTTCTAAGGAGAATGGGTCCTCTTACACTGATCTAGGAGATGGGTGGAATCTCCAAGTTTCGAGGCAGAGCACAATTGCTCTGCAAAATGTGGTAAAAAAGGGGCTTCCCTGGTGGCGCAGTGGTTAACAATCCGCCTGCCAATGCAGGGGACACGGGTTCGAGCCCTGGTCCGGGAAGATCCCACATGCTGCGGAGCAACTAAGCCCGTGCGCCACAACTACTGAGCCCACGCGCCACAACTACTGAAGCCCTCACGCCACAACTACTGAAGCCCGCGCACCTAGAGCCCATGCTCCACAACAAGAGAAGCCACCACCGCAGTGAGAAGCCTGCACGCTGCAACGAAGAGCAGCCCCCGCTCGCCGCAACTAGAGAAAGCCCGCGCACAGCAACAAAGACCTAATGCAGCCATAAATAAATAAATAAATTTAATTAAAAAAAAATGTGGTTAAAAAAAAAAAAAGAGGAAAAAAAAAGGGACACCAAGGCTTAGTGCTTTGACGGGAAAGAAAGAAGGGATCTTTGGTAGCCACTCATGAGA